AGCTTCGGTTAGGAATGTAAACGTTTCTGGCATCAGAGTTTCTGAATATGTGTGTATTATTTTACTTCGGTCAATAGACCACCGAAAGTCTAAAAGTACGAATGAAAGTGGTAACATACGTTTATGTTGTGCCCACTGCATGTTGACCTTGAGCATATGTCCTTACTAGTACATCAATCGAGAAGATTTTCCTTGTTTTCTAATGTTTTTCGTCTATTGCATTGTTAACTTTTGCGAATAGTTTTGTTAAGCACTTTATGTTCCTTCATGAACAGTATATGGATAGCAATCAATCGCTTGAATGATCCATTCATGCGTGAGCTCATACTCTGCAATATAATTTCTCATTAACTCTGGGTACAGAATCCCACCAGGTTTGGCCCTTTCCATTATTAAGAATTGGCTGGTAATTGGATGGAATTTGAGGTACCGAAAATATGAATTTCTATTAATGACTTGTATTCATTCATCAATGGCTGTACAGGTCTTTGTTATGCTCTGGCCGTATTTTCAATTTCATAATCCTACACACCGTCCCTATAAATCCTTGGACGGGGATCAGTCTTATCACAAGACTGCTACTTGCACACAAGATAAACAAACAGAGCACAAACATACACGGACATCCATGTTCCGAGTGGTATTCGAAGCCACGACCCCAGTGTTCGATCGGGCGAAGACATTTTATACCTTCAGCTGCTCGTCAATTGTGCTTTGCTCAATAACGTATGTGATACTAACGTATATATAACTAAAAGTATGCTTCTTTGAGACACAGTCTATTACTAAGTATACATGACTTTAAAACTACGCTTCTTGGAAAACTAAACTCTTTGTTTACTATCATAAGAATTACAGTATTTTTGACAAAACGGCTGATGACACGCAGGATGCCAAAGGTTGGAAACATTTGCTGTACTGCCTGCATGTACGTATAATGTCCAAGTCGCTTGTCTCAACCAGAAAGTTACAAGAAAACCTAAACTTTCAGTATTAGATACGTAAGTAGTTCACGAAATGTTAAGGTTACTGCAGAAGTCTTAACCCGCTTTAATTTTTCTTTTCTGTTGAGTTCAAGCGCTGGCTATTTACTGCAGAAAAGACCAAGAATGTCTTCCAAACACAATTGGGATTGAACTCCGTAAAATGTCGTGCTGATATGAGAGTCTGTAAGCACTTGTTCTATGATAGTGAGACAGCATAATCTTAAATCCTGTAGGCATATATTCTATGGAAATGTGACGATATATTCTGAAGGTTTGAAGGAACTTCCTGTTTGGCAGCGTGACTGCAGATTGGCCCTATGATCAGAAGACCTGAAGGAAATTGCTATAGAGCAGCGTGACCATATGATCTGAAGGAATGAAGGCACTTCCTGTTTGGCAGAGTGACCACATGATCTGAAGGAATGAAGGCACTTTATATATGGCAGATTGACAACATAATCTGAAGGATTTAAGGCACTTCCTGTTTGGCGGAATGACAACATGATCTGAAGGTTTGAAGGCACTTCCTGTTTGGTAGCGTGACGGCAGCGTGACCATATGATTTGAAGACTTGAAGGCACTTGCTGTAGGGCAGCGTGACCATACGATCTGAGGGTTTGAAGAGTTCCTGTATAACAGAGTGACAACATGATCTGAAGTTTTAAAGGCACTTCCTGTTTGGCAGCGTGACCATATGTTATGAAGGCTTGAATGTACTTCTTCTATGGCAGCGTGACAATATTATCTGAAGGTTTGAAGGCACTTGTTCTATAGCAGCGTGACAACAGGATCTGAAGGTTTGAAGGCACTTTTTCTATGGCAGTGTGACCCTAGAATCTGATGGTTTGAAGGCACTTGTTCTATGGCAGCGCGACAACAACATTTCAAGGTTTGAAGGCACTTGTTGTATGGCAGCCTAACAGGATCTGAAGGTTTGAAGGCACTTTTTCTATGGCAGCGTGGCCCTAGAATTTGAAGGTTTGAAGGCACATGTTCTATGGCAGCGTGACCACATGATTTGAAGGTTTGAAGGCACTTGTATGGCAGCCTAACAGGTTCTGAAGGTTTGAAGGCACTTTTTCTATGGCAGCGTGGCCCTAGAATTTGAAGGTTTGAAGGCACTTGTTCTGTGGTAGCGTGACCACATGATTTGAAGGTTTGAAGGCACTTCTTATATGGCAGCCTAACAGGATCTGAAGGTTTGAAGGCACTTTTTCTATGGCAGCGTGGCCCTAGAATTTGAAGGTTTGAAGGCACTTGTATGGCAGCCTAACAGGTTCTGAAGGTTTGAAGGCACTTTTTCTATGGCAGCGTGGCCCTAGAATTTGAAGGTTTGAAGTTATTGTTCTATGGCAGCGTGACCCTAGGATCTGAAGATTTGAAGGCACGAGCTGTATGGTAGCGTGACAACAGGATCTGAAGGTTTGAAGGCACATGTTCTATGGCAGCGTGACCACATGATTTGAAGGTTTGAAGGCACTTCTTATATGGCAGCCTAACAGGATCTGAAGGTTTGAAGGCACATGTTCTATGGCAGCGTGACAACAGAATCTGAAGGTTTGAAGGAACGTGCTCTATGGTAGTGTGACCACATGATTTGAAGGTCTGAAGGGGTCTGGAATGTGGCAATGTGACCATATGATCTGCAGGCTAAAAGACACTGCACTGTAGTGTTTTCGTATAATCTGAAAGTCTGTAAGCACATGCCGAAAAAAAAAGAATATGAGTCCGTGACCCTATAATCTGTAGGAACTTGATATGTGACAGTGTGACCTATGAACCGAAATTCTTTACAGCACTTGCTTAATGGCGTTATAACAGTTCGAACTGAAAATCTGTACGCTCACGCTCCTAGAGAGGATGCACTGTGACAGTACAATCTGTAGGAACGTGATATATGGCACTGTGACCCTGTGATCTGAAATTCTGTAAGAACTTTCTGCAGGGAGATATGACCTTATGCTCGCATGTGTCTATTCCTTTTTCCACGCATCAAGGTCCTACAGAATTTCACATTATAGGTTCACAAATTCATGTAGCAATTGCCTACATATTTTTTGAGAGAATGAGTGGCAATTTTGAAGAAAGAGGAAAGATAAGATGATAATATTTCCTCTTACTAATAGAGTGAGTGAGTGGAGAACAAGAAACACTTGGCACTTACGTGCGTAATGGGAGATGGACATGATGAATGAGAAAACGAAGCATTTGGCTGAATTATAATTTGCACAGAGAACCGAAGTGTTCGGAGGGAATCAACCCATACATCATAAACCCCACATGGACTGACCTGGAATAGAACCCGGTCCGCCTCGGTCAGATAGATGGTAATAGTGCAATGAATATTGAGAAAATACAGCAGAGTGTTTAGAATCAGTCCATGTAACCCAGGAACGTGTCTGACGCTGGTTGTAATGTTATCAGGGCTGAAAATTCGTTTCGAAGTCACAGTGTTGTTACTTACTTAGTTGAGTGGTTATGTACACACAGTTGTGTAATATAGTGCCACATATCTACAGTAATTCAGACTGAGAGGGACAAGTGGTAGTCTGAGTAACGAAACTGAAGTATACGTAATTTTTTCGACTCGTAGTCGACTTTCTCGGCGTAGAGTCAGCGCGGCCTTCTTGCTGGAGAAAGACACTGCAAGTATGATGATAAAGGTAAAGTTATTCTTGTGTTTAATTAGTTGATTAGTACCATACCATGAAGGCGTAAGGGGCAGTAGAGGTATAGCCTTACAATTCTTGACCTCGACACTAGACATAGGTAAGTGGTCAGCTTCACTCCCCGGCCGCTCTACCCCCGGGGAAGGAGCCCCCTTTATTCAGGTACAGTAATGTAAACTTTATCATTTCTTTCTGTGATTGGATCATTACAATATTTTCAGTAAGATGTAGATACTGTGAGTACTTCGATTCTCATTTAAGCAGACAGGAAGCTGTATTATACTACGTAACATGTTAGTTCAGGAGTATCCGCTCTACGTATTGCAGTGTATAGAGCCGTTGTTGGGTAGCGACCTCGAAACCAAGATTCGCTGCTAGCAACAGACTTTTTAATAAGCAGGTACATTCTGCCGTTGCTACTGGTTACTGGCTGGGCGGCCGGGGTTCCAATCCCGGTAAGGGCTAGAGATTTTTCTCTGTTGCACAACGCCCAGGCCAGTTCTGGGGCCCACACACCATATCCAATTGCTACCGGAGGCTCTCTCCCCCCGCGTGTAAAGCGGCCAGGGCGTGAATTTAACCACTCGCCTACATCTAGTGCCGAGTTTAAGAATGGTGGAGCTGTACCTCCACTCCCCGATATGTCTTCATTGCACAGTGCCTAATTATTTAAGCATAGGGACAAATTACTTTTAAACTTCAAAGAAGGCTGTTGATTACTGTGTTTCTTATATTACGGAAAGCATCCTTTCTATAATTGTGAGTTTCTTTGTATTTCATTGGTTTTAAAGTAATAATTTATTTAGTTGGGTTTTATTTCGCTTAGTGGGGGAAGGGGGGTGGAGCCCAGCTGGGTCCACTCAGCACTGCGGGCACTTGTTGGCCTATTGTACCTGTCTCGGGTGATTGTGATGATGGAGAATTTGGTGGAATGAAGATTGACAGGGGAAACCGAAATACTCGGAGAAAACCTGCCTCAGCGCTACTTTGTCCACCACAAATCCCACGTGACCAGACCCGGGATCGAACCAGGGCCATGGCTCAAGCGGTTAATCGTTTGCTTCCCACTGCGGCGGCCCGGGTTCGATCCCGGGTCTGGTAAAGTTGGATTTGGTGTAGACAAAGTGGCGCTGGGGCGGGTTTTCTCCGAGTACTTCGGTTTCCCCTGCTAATCATCATTCCACCAATTGCTCCACAATCACCCTCACCTATCATCTGGGGCTGGTACAATAGGCCAGAAGTGGCCCCACTAGCAATAAAAAACCACTTGAGCTATGTCGCGGCCTTTGGGTTTTAGTTACTCGTTCTAATATCTCTTTGGTTTCAGTTCCATACCAAGTTCTTCATTTCTGCAATGACGAGACAAAAAAAGAACGCTCCTCATGTTACTGTAACATGCGCACAAGATCCCGCAGACTGCTTCCGATGTGGCGGAAACAGTTCACACAGTGTCTGGCTTGAAGGCTGCATGTTCAGTTCCGTAGTGAGTCTACTTGTAGACGGTAATGTGTAGAAACGTGTCAATATATTCGTCACAGTTATATCATATTTGTAATTTTTGTAATTTTTTTGTGGGGAAATATATCGCTATACTTATAAAGTCAGTTATGGTGGTACGGTGATAATAAAAAAGTAGAGAGTTTGGTATCTGAGCCCATTCCAAGGCCCTGCAACTGTCTGTATCTTCCTGACGGACCCAAAAGAGAACTAGCACGTATAATCAAGAGAATACGCGAACGGATCCTAAACCCTGATGTCTGCATCACATTGGCGGACTAGGTATGTGCAACAGTATGTCAGTATGTCTGATGCATGCTCTGTAATGAAGTGTTTGGAGCTTATGGATAGTTGTTAAGTTGTAGGTGATCTAGTGCACTGTTTAATATAACAGAATTTGTGATACTGAGATAAAACTTATTAATATCAAAAGAAATTTAAACTTAAATGTTTCACATGGCATGCCGTGGTTATAGCCCCTTTACTCAGCAGTCAATATTGTGACATGTGGACCCGTTGTTAGGCAACGGCACGTAAACACCAACAGAGGAAAGGCGATTTCTCTGCAGTCCGTACGGAGATGTTAATGAGGAGTTAATTTCAGTTCAGTTCCATCGTAAATGAGTCGTCGTTCGGTATTCGTTAACCGTAAAAATTCAGATGGTAGTTCAAGAGTTGTTGAGCTGTGGAGTATTAACCAACGGACAGCAGAAGGTGAAGAAGTGACCGATTCGTAAATCAGAACCAAGTCAGCCACAGTGGAAGAGACGACACTTGTAGTCCAGTAAGGAATGGAGCGAGTCTTAGACGGTCATTGATTGTGAGCTGTCATAACTGATTGTAATTGCAAATAATGTGTCAATAATTCAAATCATCCAATCCAGAGCCCATTAATATTAGTCACGGAATCCCGAACACGTGACAATATTTCTGGGGTTTTCTAAACAAAAAAAAAGCGGAGAATTCATAATTTTGCTAAATGGCCGCTGGACAGAAACAGAAATACTTGTATATAAAGTGGCATTAAATTGGATATGTGCGGCAGGGGACGACGTTAAGGATCTGGAGTAATTTATATAACGCGAAGCATTGTAATATGCAGAGCGTACATAGCAGCAAATATTATTAGAATGATAAACTCAAAGAATGCGAAGGCTGGGGCATGTGACAGGTATGGAAGACGTGAGAAATGCTTACGAAATGTTAGTGGGAAACCTTAAAAGTATTTAAATGGTTCTTAAAGATACAACGCGAGGAAGTAGACAAAAATGAACCTTTGACAGCACGAGGATCTCATGTGGGCTCTTGTGAATACGGTAATGATTCTTGGCACTTTCATAAGGCAGGAATTTTCTTGACGATGTTACATATTGTTAGCTTCTGAAGAATAAAAAATCGATATGATTTTTTTGGGCTGGATTTAGCTGGCTTAGGAAAAGCCCACTGGTGAACATCTATGTTAGCTGTAATAATAAATGTTCACATTCCTTTCTAAAAGTTCGTGATGGTACTATGTTAATAATATGGTCCTAATCTTTAATCAAAATGACGTTTCGGAGACTGGGCTCTCTTCGACCTGAGGTAAGAAGCATACTCTGTTTGACACAATCGATATAGCTAGACCCTATCTCCGGCCAGAGAAGGCTTTTTACTTGAGGATAGAGACAGATCCCATTATCAGAAAACGTAGTTTTAAATAAAAAGTTATGATTTTGAATAATGTTCAGACAATCGAGTATTGCTTCACGTTCAGTTGTTTTGGTAGTGAGTGGATGCCCGAGTCATTTAGTCAGTCAGTCAGTCAGTCAGTCAGATTGTCGTTTCGTCACTTAGTCCATGGCTCTCACCGGAAAAGGCACACAGTATAATATTTTCACGCATGTGGGGGTACGCGTGACTAAAATAAAGGGTCATAGATAGGATGATCAGATTTATTGGCACCTCGGTTACAACTTCTCTTAATTACAGTCAATACAGCGCTATTGCTGATTTACACACTTTACAGTTCACCGTTTCAGACGCACTAGGACTCTCCGTCTTCACTAGTCGTATCCTGGCAACGGAAGTAAAACACAGGAACTAGCGCTTCAGACCACTCCAAATATTACACATAAGGTCTTTAATTCACAGGTTAAGTCTTCACAGATCGACTTCTAATTATCCTTCAACCACATACTCCCCGTCGCTATATCCTATCTAAAACTTACTGACTCGTAGCGCCGTTCGCCTTTAAGAAAAGTTCTTTGAACGGACCCCACGGAAAACACCGTCTCCCACTGTTGTGGATGAATGTTTACAAATTGGTTGCCTGGTAATAAACTTCCTACAGCTCCGTACTTTCGCTCGGCGCGGACCGCATAGGAAACAATTTCCGTTTTATTGTTGCTTGTATTCTTGTTTACAGAGATGTTGCGTGTGAATGCGTTGATCTAATCCGTTACGATTTAGACGGACATACGGCCAACCACGCAAGATGCTTTTCATACCAGCAATAGAAAAATGAAACCGTCACTATGTTCATGTACTCATACAACAAGATATGTAATCATTGTTAACTGACAGTGTCCAATTATATTCAACAACAGCTTATTTTAAGTATATTAGTATTTTTGTCTGACAATCATAGTGGCCGCGCGGTCTAAGGCAGGAACTCTCTTCGCTTGCTCGAACGCTGGGATCGCGGGTTCGTATCCCACTCGAGGCATGGATATTTGTGTGTACTCTTCTTCTGTGTTTGTGTTGTCCTGTATTGGTAGCTGCCCTGCGTCTGGCTGATCCCCCGTCCAACGAGCCCTACCTACTCTATATAGATTAAAGAATTGGAAAAGCTGCCAAGATCTACAAGGGTTGTAAAACCATAGATAGATTTTAGTTTACTCTGATTTCTGAAAGCAGAAATCCCCCTTTTTTTATTGCTAGTGGGGTGGGACTAAGTCCCTTGTACTGCGGCCACTTCTGGCCTATTGTACCAGCCCAAGATGATAAGTGAGGGTGATTGTGGAGCAATTGGTGGAATGAAGATTGGCAGGGGAAACCGAAGTACTCGGAGAAAACCTGTTCCACAAATCCCACTTGACCAGACCCGGGATAGAACCCGGACCGCCGCGGCAGGAAGCCAGCGAATAACCATTTGAACTATGGGGCAGCCACTAGAAATCCTTTAATGCAAACCGTGTTCATCATGCATGTGGAGTATTTCTTGTTAGCGATGACTTAGCTTTCTGAGGACGGTCAGCAGTGGCCGAAATATGTGTAGGTTTAATTTTATTTTTACTAAATTTTTGCACATGATGGACATTGCTCCCCGTTCATCTGATAAGAAGTGAGACAGCTCTGAGTATCTCTAGTAAAAATTAGCTCAGTAATTCATAGTGCTTTATAACACATATACCGATCGTTAGAACAGCTGCCAGCTTCGTGCCTCTGCATTTTATCGTAGGATATAAATCTAATTATTATTATAACTTAAAAATATGTTTCTGTACAATATAACAATTTATATTTTATATTAGACTAGAAGAGAAGATTTAATTACTCTCACAAACGTTATTCAAGACGACTTTGAAGAATAAAATTTGTGTTTGGCCATGCAGAATATACTGCTATTCACTACAAATAATTTATCCGCAAACAAGTGTTTGATAAACAAACAAAAAATAACTACTACTATTTCTAGCTGATATAAATTACGGTTTCGGACCCGTAGCGGTGCGCGAACCAACGGTTGAAGAGCAGTGACGTTGTTACTGCAGAACTTGCACTTAACAATCTATGAAGGAAAGGGGATCAAGTAACTTCTATGAATACTTTCATTTACAGGAAGTATCCGGGGTCGACTTTGTGAGTGTCTTCAGGTGTAAGGGTTTGTTCAGGCTAAGTTAACTCTTATAATAAACGAGCGTTAGAACTGATCAAATACTGGCTACATGGACAAGAAGAACATGAAAAACTGAACATATTGTGTCATGACGCCCCAAAGCCAGAATACCGAAGGCGTTCATTGCTAGGCAACGACTCGGTAAACACATTTTTGCCGCAACGAATACGCAAGCAACAATAGAGTAACTTCCGTTGCTATAAAACGGAGCTGTAAAGACTTCTTCCTAAAAAATAGAGAGACTGTGTTTATGCGTGGTCAGTGCAAAGACTTTATAGAGAGAAGTTCCGAAGCTTGCAGGAGCAGCATAGAGAAAAGTCGAGTTTCGAGACGCCAGTCAGACCGGATATGAGCTTTGGAGGAGATGTATTGGGCTAAGTCAGTCTTCGGAATTGGCAGTTGCAGAAAGAAGACTTCGGGTGCGATTTGAAGCGACAGTGAGACTGTTATAAATCCTTTGCTAGGAAACGGCTAGTGATGACTGAGAACCCTAGTGAGTATATGAGGACGAACTGTAAAGTGTGTAGATCAGCGATACCGCTGTATTGCCTGTAGTCTCAAGTTGTGTGTATAAGGTGTCAAGAAATCCTACCATCCAGTTCAAAACCCCGTCTTATAAGTCACGTGGAAACGCATATGCATGACATATGATCACGGGCCGTGGCGGGGTCCGACACCAGGGGTGACCTTGCTGGCTGGGTGCCAGTAACAAACTTCTGCTCCTTCTGTTTCTGTGAGAGATGAAGGGCAAAAATGTGAAGTTGCCACTGTGCTTAATCAATTAAGCACCACTCCATGAAAACTTATGGGGTAGTGAAAGTAATGCTGTACTCCTCTTGACCTCGGTACCAGATGGAGGTGAGTGGTCAGCATCACACTCCAGACATATTTCTCCCGGTGAAAGAGCGCCCGATAGGCCTTAGGCACCCCATACACACACAGTTTGGCCTTCCGATCGACCTTACAGGCAAAACTTTCACAGTTTACCCCCTCCCTTTCCTTCCCCATACACTCGCGGATAAGCCGGCAGGATTCATGCCACAATCACGGTCTTCCAGCCTATAATGTTGAGTCACACACGTCACGTGCTACGGTCCTGCAGGTGGAACCGACAGACTGACGGGTTTCACAGGCTAACAGTCCAAACGATTGGCCCGCCGGCCGCACCACACACATCAGTTTTCCCTTTCAGTCTTCAACTGTGCAGGCCGAACTGGAGGCCAAACTGTGTGTGTATGGGGGCCCTTAGATACGAGGCTGGGTTAGCCTCAAAGCCTGTGTGCATGCTATGGAATAGAGGAAACATTTTATTCCTATCGGGAATAGAACTCCCGTAAGATTTCAGGAATACCTTGGCCGAGCGGGTGTTCGCTTTTCAAGACGGACATTCCTCAGAGGAATTAGT